GTCTTGTGCCATGCTCACAATTATTCCTATACCTGAGCCCACAGTGCCGCTCCATCCCCCTGAGGGCTGTCCTCTTTGTCATCTCCCCATCCACTTCATCAAACATGATGTCCTTCTCGAGAAACTCTCTCCTGACAATATGTTCAAAGTATGTAAGACAAAGTCTTGTCACCCTTACCTCGAAGGAGCGCTCTGACCTTACTTCTTCCAATAAAGATTGGTTTGTCCTCTTGGCAGTCCATGTTACTTTCAATATTCTTCTCCAGCACCACAATTCAAATGCAACTATCCTTCTATGGCCTCCCTTATTCAATATCCAACTTTCACATGCATATGATGTAATGAAGAATACCATGGTTTGGGTAAGGCACACCTAAGTCCTCCAAGTAATATTCTTGTGCTTCAATACTCTAAAGAGGTCTTGTGCAGCACATTTATCTAATGCAACTTGTCTTTTGATTTCAAGTAAGACAAACTCCTTGAGAATTTCAACTTTTTCTCCATTTTTCATGCCCTATTGGTACAGTTTTGAGAATTTGGGTCTTCCTTATATTGAGTTGCTCCTTATATTGAGTCACCTTTCTTTGGAATTGGCACAAACATGGATCTCTTCCAGTCAGTAGGCCAGGTAAGGTATAGGCTAGTGAATGCTTCCAGTGCTTCTTCAGCTTTCTGAAACATTTCAATGAGTATTCTGTCAATTCCTGGAGCCTTGTCTTTGGCTAATGCATTCAGTAAAGTTTTATCATCTTCCTTCAGCACTGTTGGTTCTTGCACATATGCTACCTCCTTAAATGGTGGACTGTTTACTCATTATTTCTGGTACAGTGACTTTGTGTATTTGTTCCATCTTTTCATGAAGCTTCTTGCATCATTCAAAATCTTGCTTATAGATTCTTTCAAAATTGCAACTCAAGGCTAGACTTTTTTTCTTGATTTCTTTCACTTTCAGATATGCTGATTGAGTTCTTGATTTTTGCTTTCTAATGCTACATCTTTGCACATTTTATTACAATATTTGGCTTTGTCTTCTTGAGCTGCCCCTTGAAAACTTATTCCCTATCATATCCAATATTCTTGTGAATATAACCCATTCATATGGGCACAATAAGTTTGGGAGCAATTGACTTGGGTTGTGTGTAGTTCCTGCCATGGCAGTATTAACTTTAAGAACTTTTCTCCTTCTAAGAAAGCTTATCAATGTTCAAGGAAATGAAAGTGATGTTATTATAGGAAATGACTTAGTGCTGCTCAAGTTTATAAATACATGTCAACCTCAATTCTTTTATTGCTTTTAACAAAAGGTTACTTAATGTGAACCTCATAACAATGCTGCGCTACAATTTAGTGAAGTTAACCTCCCTGACTGAGCCTTTCTTGGGTTACACGGGCAGAAACAAACATTCAGTGCTTGTTTCTGGTGAACACTCTATTACAGTACAAATCACATCTCAGTTGTTTGTTTTCTGTTTGCTTCCCCTCTGACTCTTTAAAGAAACAGATTGTATTTATTCATCTTGGTCTGGTGAATGGTAGGTATTCAATAAATGTTGCTGCTTTTTTGTTTTGAAAGAATGTGGAAAAAAAAGAGGAATGAAGAGGGCAAGAAAGAATAGATAATGAAGGATGTTTATGGTAGAGATGGACTGATCATCAGCATTTAAGTTTCAGTTCCAAATTTATTGTCTCTCATATGCATACAGCCTTAGAAATGTGCTTTGTAACAAATAATGGAATTCCTCCAAATATTTCTTCTTTAAAGTGAGTATAATGTTAATCTCTCTCAGTAGAGGACACCAGAGGAACATTGCAGAAAGACAGGGCTCATAATTCTAAACGGTGTCACTTGTGGTCATTTTAGTTGCCTGTGACTGAAGATCAACCATAACTGGCTTCCCAATAAGATAATTGATTGGCGTATATGACTTGAAAATCCAGGTGAGAGTCTCATTTCAAATGTGACTTGATCAAAGGATCAACAGTGTTATCAGGACTTCATTTCCCTCTTTACTTTTCCTCTCCCTTCCCATTGTCATCATTCTTAGTTTCCAAAGAAAAACAGGTGTTTCCCCACAGTTTTAGGTTTATGTCTTCTTAGATTAAAAGTAACTTTTGCTTTTCATTTTCTTTCTTAGATTCTGAGAAAATTCTGGCATTTACCTTGATTAGAATATCTAGAACTACATGTTTACCCTGAGCAACAGGAACAGTCAGGTGTGAGTTCCCTGCTCCCTTTTTAAAATTGGATTACCATTGGTAGTAGATGTTGGAACCAGAGAGATTATGTAAAGAAATTCAGGGTGCTGAACCCTGAAGAAGGGACCATAAAAGCTGGGTAGTTCTTATACGTTGAAGTGTGTCTTCCTGGTGGGCGTAGTGGTTATGTGTGGGGGCTGCAGTCTGCATGGTCGGTGGTTCAAAACCAGCAGCAGCTTCAAGGGAGAAAGACAGGACTTTCTACTCCCATAAACAGTTACAGTCTCAGAAACCCACGGGGGATAGCTGTGCATCAGCATTGACTCAATGGCACTCCACTTGTTTTGGGGTTGGTGGTGTTGTGAGTTACCAGGACTAATAACTTCAAGGTCAGAAGTTTGAAACCACTGAACACTTCTCTGGAGAAAGATGAAGGCTTCTACTCGAGTGAAGATTTGAAGTCCCAGATACCCACACAGGGAGTTCTACTCTCTCCTACAAGGTCCCATGAGTCAGAACTGACTCAATGACAGAGACTAAAAGATATCATGAAGTCCTTGTATTAGTCTAGGTACTTTAGAGAAACAAATCCACAG